CACGGTACGCCAATGATGATGTGCCACAAGAGTTCCATTCCGATCTCAACACGCAAAGTTTTCCGTGATGTGGAAAAATTTAACGAAAAATGCGGCTAATTTATGGGCTGTTTTTAGTCGCAATTCATCACGCTTTGGGGTCTTTAAGACCTGCCAAAAGGGCGCTGTAAAGATAACGAAGAGTTTGTTTCCGAATCTTTAAACAAAAAATCCAGAAAAGTTCAGAGGAGAAGACGAAAAAACCCACTGATTAGAGACAAGTTTCAGAGGAGGTTCTCAAAAATCCGGTAAATCCGGAAAGTGGATCCTCCTTGGTCATATCTTCCCAATTAAACTTTCTTATCTCTCCACGACGTGGAGAAGGAGAAAGACGAAAACCCGTCATTCAACACGCCGCACATCTCTCGATATCTCTCTAACAAGCACAGCTTGCCAGTGCCTGGTTTCATATCCAGTAATTCTCTCTGTCGGCAGGAAAAAAAGCCACGCTATACATCTCTTTGGCAGGCACACTAGCGTTACTGCTCACTGTATTTGCAAAACCGTGACATTGAACGTTGATTTTGAATAATTTGTCTTTTGCGAATGATATTTAAATATGAATGATGTGTTCAATACGAATGTATGACTTTTTTTTTAGTCAGCACCACTGCGGTGAACCTCATATTTGACTCACATTATTTATGTGGCAGACAGTGAGTAATTTTTACAGCAAACACCATTAATGCAAATTAACATGGTTTTTCACTCACATCATTTTCATTGACGTGGTGAAAAATTTTCGGAAATTTGCACGATATAGCCATTGATTCTCACCTGTTGAATGGTTATAATTGGCTTTAGATGGAAATTTTTGAATTTTTTACACACGTGAAAATGATCTGGCAAAGACAGTGCGCAACTCAAAGTTGGGTTTATTTAATTGACTTGACTTCTCAAACTTGAAGCAGACAGTTTTTACAATGTTTTATTGAACTTGTATTTTTATGCGTGTGTGCTTTTTAACGCATTTTTCTTAAATAATTATCTCATATCCCATTGACCTAATGTTTCAGAGTAGATTTCCATGCTTAATATTTGGAAATCTGAGAATATTGTAGGAAGACACACTTTTATATAGAAGAGGAATTTAAAAAATAGGGAAATGTGCAAAAGGTGTATAATTTTACTTGGTTGTGATTGCTAAATTTTAAGAGAATCCTTGCAGTTTTTTATATAATACATTCTCTGTTGAGAGAGAGAGAGCAAAATTGTATGAAAGAACGCAATTTCTAAAACGAGTGAATTTAATTCTTCCATCATGCTAAGAGGCTTTAAGTGAAGAATGGTATTTTTCACCTCAGCATTTATGAGTCTATAAATGTACTACTAAGCGTGTTTTTTACTACGAGCTATTCTTTAGCAAATTAAGTCGTTAGGGTGATGTGGGGAGAATAAATTCGAGACATGGGTCACCTTATCAGGTGTGTGTGCTTGCGTGTGAGGTGAAATTGGTAAAAATAGGGGAAAAGGATCACCGAAAAATTGATTGAGGGGTGTTGGGAGAGAAACCTTGCCTTAATGTCATGGTCAATCTCGGTCGGTCACTGAAAGCATGTGGAATTTCGGCGTGCGCTGTTGACGAAGGAAAATGTTGAAGTTGACCTGACTATAATTTAATCTTTGGATTTGATATAAACAGTGACGTCAGCTTTAGTTTTTGTTCGCAAACTCTGCAGTCTCGAGGTGAAAATAGAGAAATAAAACTCTAATGGGTATAAATGTTTTTGTTCATTCTCTATTCAGAAAGCTCTTCATAGTATAATTAATTGTTCACTTAATTGATACAAGAATTCCGCCTTTTTATTGGTGGGAGAGTTTTTCAGCAAAATCCAGAGGCAAGTGAGGCGAGTTGAGTCTCTTGTTCGGCTGGTGTGTGCTTTTTTGCAGAATTCTCGCGATTCTAATTTTATTTTGTCACCATCTAAACGAGTCGAGCAAGAATTTTATTGTTATTCCACCAGAATGAATATAATGTTTAAATTTACCTGCAAGGAAAAACATCTACTCGATGACTTTTACACCCAGTTGACTTACAATGCAGACTCGTGTGGATATATTGAGAAGTATACGTACTAAAGAGGCACTGAGAAAAGTGCCAGTGAGACGAGAGGCAAAAAATGGGCAATTTTAAAAGTCTAATTTGCGTTCTTTCGTCTCCTCTTGGGGCCTGATTTCTGGTGGTGTGAGGAATGAATGAAAAGTGGAGAAATAAGAGAGACACAAACAATGAATAAGATTATTTTGACTGAAATCACGTTCCGTAACACGTACTTCTTGTACAAATTTTTACACACATTCTTCTATGGCTTGCATTTCATTGCATACTATTATATCGGCGGATTAATTCAACTATTAGCACCCAGAAATAGTTGATGGATTGCGTTGAAAGGAAAATAATACTTTAATTGACCATTCACGTTAGCTTTTTTTCCATTGATTTCCACTTTGGGGGCGTACATATGTGTACAATGCAATTTATTGACCGTGCAGGAGAAAAAATGAGTAGTGAATGAAGAAATTATATTAGAAACATTGAAAAGGAAATTGTTTACCTTTTCTTCGTGTTCTTCCTCCAGCCACAACATTATGTACATAAATTTCTGTATACACCACTTTATTTAAAGACCAATGATTTATTTGCAATTCAATGAATTTGGTTTAGAAATTGAAATTTTATTGCACGATCTTATTTATGGAGCACAGCCGCGAAGTTGAGAGATACTATAAGAGAAGATTCACTTTACATGGATTTTTTTCTTATGTGTGTGCTTTTGTTTGCTCGGGCTTTTTGCGAGATATAATTTAGCAAATCTCCAATGGAAATACTTTGTTAAGACTAGAGTAGTGGAATATTCAGAATTTTTTTCAACGTTTTTGCGTTTAGTATTCGCATAGTATAAATACTTAATTTTCCCGAAAAGGTATTCGCGAGTTTGTTATTTGCAAACTGTCGCGTTTGGCTATTTATCACGTTTACACGAAGAAGAAACGTTGGAGCCTTGAATTTTTCAGGAATCTACCTTTATATTATCTTCAGGGTTTTATGACAAAACTGTCCTAATCGCTCCAATATAGTCTGAAATAGTCTCTTTTATAATCTTTATCCTAACAGCCGTGCTTCTGTAAAATTCTCGAAACACATTTTTTCTGTAATGGTGGGAAAAACCAAAGGGATTTCTTCGTTAGCCTATGAGATGTGAATTCAAGTTTAAGTATGGGATCGTAATTGCTGGTGAGGATGGTCACATGAGAATAGAAGAGGCAGTAATTTTCCAACTGTTCCTTTGGTTGTCAACATCTGGCAATTTTGTAAAAATTCCAACACCTCTGTGCAAACTCCACGTTTTTATACTTATTTGAAGTACCGAAAAAACACAATTCTTTGCAGTTTTCGAACTGTCCCTATGTAATAAGTTGTAGCAGTAAAAATATGTAAAGAACCCGTGGGGAGTACAGTTTATAAATAACTTAATATTTCACAGTGCGATGGCGTCAAAACACACACACGGGTTCTTCGTATATTAACGATTATCAGTTACCTGAATCATTTATGAGGGTGCAAGGATATTTAATGAGATATTCTGAATTTTACCTGAAGTATAAATTGAAGGATGTATGGAAAAAGCAATGCTAGCAACTTATTCCAAGAATATGCCAAGAATTCATGAAATGCCCATTTAGCAATCTCATATGAAGCAGAGAAATAGATGACAATTAAGAAAGAAATTCGTTATATGCATACCACGAAAGAGTATTGGTATCTAACACTTCATTGTATGTTATTTAAATTATACTTACCAGATCAAACATTGTCCCTAAATTCTAGTTTTCAGTCCTGCAATAAACCTTTGTATTCCAAATCTATTCCTTATCTTTATGTGTGAAACCTACATGAGATGCCTTTTGCAACTCTGCAACCCAAATGCTGGGCTCCACAGTGGGAAGCACAACAAATGGTCACCAGATGAGAATTGTGTGCTTTTCATTTGCCTGCATGACGTCACCAGAGGGCACAATTAACGGATTAAAACAGTGTGAGACACTTAAGTAGCTCGTTTGTTTATTTGGTGTTCGCATATGTAAGAAAAAAAAACAGGGCAAATCCTAAACAGAAAGCAGATAGTATGCACAATTCGTCTCTTATCTCTCAGCTGTTGAATCCATCGCTCCCATAATATGCTCACTCTGGTGCTGTTATCGCAAAATGGAGAAGTTCAATACTTTGCTTTTATTTGTACACTCGTTATTTCTCGCCTCCGAGTAATGTTTTCGCTTTTCTGATGTGTATAGGGAAAAATACTCGCCGGCATCACTATCATTTATTGTTGATCACGCTGTAATTCCTCGTTCATCACTCACTTTGGCTAGACTCATCATTTTTCCACTACGACGAGGGGAGGCGGAATATATTGATGGAATAGGCAAGAATCATTGAGGAATGTAGGAGTATCAATTTAATGTCTTGCCCTGAAGCTTGCACTTTGATTCATACTCTTCCTTAACTCCCGCGGCGAGTTATCTTAGGAATTACTGTATGAAAATCGCTCAGACTGTAATGAGTGGAATGTATTCTTTTGATTAGTATCAGTAGACTAAAGAAGAATTATTGCTTTTTGTACACAAAAATTTTTGGTGAAAATTCAAAACTCACTGGCTGAATTTCATTAAAATTCCTCTTCTTGGTTTTACTTCGTAGTTCGTTTTGTATGGGAGTTTGTTAAGAGATTCCTCCCCGAATCACGAGTTGAAACTCCGGCGATTCTGGCGGTGTTCGAGGCAATGTGTGCGCACATACACAGGCCTCCGTGCCCCACCACGAATAGTGTTGTCCATTGCGAGATTCCCCCACATTGAGGTGCAGCACGTCGGGTCACATACTCGTGTTCGCGGCGCGGAGTAGTTGTGTGTGCGATGTGTAGTAAAATTGTGTAGTAATTCATTACAATTCCTCTCGACAGTGCTGTCGTCTCGTTTTGGCATGCGCGAGTATCCGCACTTGGGCTGGGCGCTTTCAACTGAGCTGAGACACACTTGGAGTGAGAGAGACGGCGCTTTGCAACTCTGTGAGTCTATTGTGTATATTTTTCCGTTTGGATTCACACAACTCGTCGCATTTTGTACAGAGCTCTCGAGTCTCTCAGTCAGGCACAGTCACTTGGCCCAGGCAGTTGTGTTGTGTGTCCTCAGTTGGTGGAATTTTTATACTTTTCAACAGTGTGAGGAGAAGGAATTTTCTGTTCTGAGAAAAGAAATCTTACCAAGGAGGAGAAAGACTATTATCATGGTGATTGTGTGAGAATTTTTTGCTGGATGGAAAATTGTGCTTTGAATTTCATTCTGCATTTAACCCTAAACTCACGCATATTCTCTCAATTGGAGAGGCGCGCAAAGGACGTTTTTTATAGCTTGTGAGAAGTCGTTGAGTAAAATTTTCACACTCATCGAATCGTGTGGACTGCTGCAACCGGGAGAACTTTTCCGAGGCTGACACAAGTGCATCGAGACAGGCGGGAACGTGATTGACATTTTTCCGGTAAATTGCATCATATTTCTCTATATTATAATGCCTTCCCTCATTGATACCTTATCAATGTTCACTTGTTGAGCTCGACAAGCGCATTCATCTACACTTATGCACTTTTCCGACCGAGATTATTGTCCCCCTCGCGACACTAATTCTGCAGATTCTCCTCCCAGTGAGTCTAGCTGGGACGTTGTGTATAAAAAGTAGGTGTGCGTGTGTGGAAAAAAGCTATTTTGATGTGTATGTGTGAAATTGTTAATTGAGTCAACGACAAACAGTTTAATTGGTGCAAACAAGAAATTGATTAATTAATGTTTTTAGCCTTTTTCCCTCACTCTGTGGGTCTCTTCTTTATGAAAGCAAAAACCGAGATGGAGATATGACATTTTTCACTGGTCAACAATGCGACTGGCTCTCTTTTGGTCGTCTCTCTCGTTTTTTTTTTCCTTGTGATCCCGGAGTGAGGAAGAGTATTTTTTTCGACACATGTTTATTCTTTTTATTTATAAATTTAAATGTGTGTATGTAAATTGATGCGCGAGAGAAGAATTCTTTTGGCGAGAGATGGGAATAGAGGAAAAAAAATGTGCTGTGTGGACTTAAGTGTATGAGAATGTCTATAAAATACTGTAAATATTTATATATTAAGCGTTCGCGAAATTCTCATTTCAATTTTTTTTAATACACTTCACGAAATTATATAATTCCACGGGAGAAGTTTTGATCTTGAAAGAGGGGAAGAAATAGAGAGAGAGAGACAGAGTGATCGATTCCTTGTGGAATGGAGCGCGCGCGCGACGTGATGAAAAACACGAAAATAGGAAATTGGTGAATGTTTGGGATCGACAGGGGAGCGCGCGGAAGATGGAACATGTAGGAAACTGGTGTGAGAGATTAGTGATGTGCTGAGAATTAATGGAATTTTACACCAAAGTTTCTTCCACTTTTTCCCTCATTCGCCTTCTCGCACTTCTCACCAATCGAGCCAAAGCTTCCAGCCATGATATGTATAATATACATAAGAAAAGAACACTGAAATTCCTCCATTGGATGAGTTTTGTATTTTACACTTCAGTCAGAACGACAAGATTTTTACATTTGAAAATGTAATCTTTATCAGAGTGTATTTGCATGAGAATTGTAAATCCTTGTCCAAATTCTCTTTAGATAAGTCATTTGAAGATCTGTTGGAATTTGAATTTTGACGCGTGATGAAGTACGAACACGCCCGAATTGATTGACCGAAGGCAGAAATGCGGTGTGTAAACAGTGGAGTAATTGGTTGGCTTTACGGCGCAATATGTTTCCAAAATTCTATGTAGATCTACGTGAAAATGAGGGGAAAACGAGAATGGAAAATTGAATGGGAAGACTGAAAATGCGATGAAAGCGAGTGAGATAGTGTGGAAGGAGGAAGAGTGTTGTATACAAATGTGAGAGTGAAAAGGCCTGGTGAGTCTCAATCAGAGTTTATCTTTGCCACCCTCGCGCCCCAATTCAGCCCCCTCGACTCGCGGGTGTTGCTGGTGGAGAGCCGGTCAGCTATACAAGCATGGGTGGAATTGTGAGCAATCTCCGGATGAATGTGTGTTGGAGCTCGTGAGCTCGTCATCGTTTATCGTGGGGCAGTCGTCAAGCGGAGCAGAGCGTTATTTTTAGAATCTTGTACTTCTCCCCGTTTTTCTTTGTCGTAAGTGTTGTGATTTTCTTCATCGTGTTGTGTATACCCGACTCTTTTTTGCCTGTGCCTCGTCATTTTATTTATTTTATATTATTTGCACAATGTACACACTTTAGTCCGCCCCTCCCCGCCTCGTTTCTCGTTCATTAACTAAAAGTTTACAATAGTGTCTTGTTGTCGTTTTTTTTCTTCTCCACTTTTTCTCGTTCTTCCATCGCGCGTATCTGGTGTATATCTCTCTTTATATTAGATTTACTTCTTTGATTCAAGCTCACCAATAGTGGAAGGCATAATGATCAGTTTGCCACATTTGATTCTATACAACATATATCGACTGGCGAAGTCGGTGGGGATTAAAGTGTGGAAGATTAATAAGAAAATCCAATTTACGTTCAACTGTGAGATTCCTGTATAACCCAGAATTACTTGATCTTTTTTTTCTTATTAATTAAATCAACGTAAATTTATTTTGTATGCTTTTTCTGCTGATCTCTTCTATTTTCCTTCCTCCATTTCGCCTTCTTCACGATGTTTGTGTACTCTCTGCTCCGAAGGAGTTTAATGATTTAAACACTTTTCCCTCTATTCTCCGCTCTATCCCACTGTGTGCACTGATAAAGCTCCGCTACACAAGCAAGCTGATTTTTTGTTCACTGTGTAAAATGTATACCACGAAAGACAGAGATTGTAGAATAAGCATTGAAGACAAAATAACCATGCATTTTCTTCTATGCCAAATATAAAGCTTTCATACTATGTCTTATCAATTTTGTCAGAGTTATACAATACAATTAGTATGAAATGAGGGAGAAAAGAGAGTAGATTTGTGGGCCACGAACTTACAGGAAAATCATCATTTATCGTAGTGCTAAAGTGCGGAATGGTTGAGATGAGCACACAAAAAAGATTATATTGTGTTTATGTGTTAAAGTTCACTCTCGTGCTTTTTTGTGTTCTCTCTCCTCTTTTCTTTTAAATACAATACACAACGAGCGATAGACAAAAAGTGGCATAAATATTTGTGAATAATATTATGGTAATATTTTTCTGTAAATCCACCAATCGTTTCTCGTATCACACATGAAAAACTCACACTATGGGTGTTATTATATAAAAAAATTGCTGGACAAAAAGAGGGAGCAAAATGGTAAAATAGCAATTTAGTCACAAATTAAGTAACTTCCAGTATAGAAACCAGTTCCTAAATAATCCAATACACACGCTCAGCCACACTTCATGTTGCTCACATTTCGCCAACTGCATCAATACTGACCGTAAGTGGAAGTTTTTAAAAAATGAAAATTGACGATCGAATGCGTGGGAGTTTTGTAAAGTGGAGATAAAATTGAAAATTTCAGACAAATCCGAGGAAATGATTAAAATAAAGTGTAAGTTAATGAAGTACTAAATGGGTTGCAAAGCGATTTGGTATTAAAATAGTCGAGCGACGTGCAGAGATGCTCGAACAACAAAAAAGACCTTCCATGGCGTTTCTCTTGTTCTTTGCTCTTAAATTTATATTCTCTTCCATTGTTATCCAACTAAATTCAGTGGTTGCAGGGGTTTTGAGCTTTACTGTGAAGCCTGTAAATACTAGTTTTATTACTTTCAAATGCTTTGAGAGCAAAACTTTTTCTGCAGTAGCACTGAAAGTGATTAAAAATGTAATATTGCACTTTTAGAACTTTATATAGTTTATTCACAAAAATATCCACATCACGTCGTTCTCATTATATGTACATATTTTCGTCACAGTGCGGCACACACAACAGCAAGCTTCTACATATGAGTGAGTGAAAAAGACTTTTATTAAAATTCTCTGGTGTTTCGATAAAAAGAGTCAAAATCGCGTTGGTGTGCGCATTGAAAAGCTTTGCAATTCCAACATAAACAGTCACTTTGTTCTATATCAAGGGCATACATAAAACCACCCACTCAATTGGACGATTACGATAGTCGCTGTATCGTAAATTTAATTTCATATTGATGCAGAGTGGGAGGGGCGGTGAAGTAGAGAAATAGTTGGCGAATTAATTAATTGACAAACTGGCAAAACATGCAATTTTATTTCATGACTAATTTATACCCACACGTATGATTTTTCACAGTGATGTGATTATTTAGTTGAGATAGCACTATATGATGATGTTTTTCTGTGACAAATATATTGCTCAATTTTAAACTTATAAAATGAGGAAAACTAGTTTAAATCCTGTCATTTTGGTAAAATGACAAAATTCCATGACTTTTCTGTTAACGCTGAAAATATCTGCATTTCTTGCTGTCTCAGACAGATTTTTTCACATTAAAGAGTCACATTGTGACGCAGATTATATTACTCATTTTCGTCAAATGTAGCAAATTAATTTCGCTGTCTCATCTTCTCATATTCCATAAATTATTTCACACTCTTGTGTATTTTTTGTGCCCTTATTTTTTTTTTAACTGCAAACATATGTCTTTTTTCTGCAACAACTTTACGAGCAGTATTTAGCGATCGTATATTTGCAGAAAAACGTTTCTGCATGCTTTTTTACTATATCTCACCGCCTGAATTTATCACCATGACTCATTTTCATTAATACTGTTGGAGTTTTTTTTTGTAACTCCTGTCAGATGAATGTGGTGAAAAGTGTTCCCTTTTGCGCGAGACGATATCAATTTATAATGCTCATGTATCAAAGCGTGATTAATGCAAGTCGAAGAGTTCGTATGATTTTTCTCCACATCCCACAAATTCAGCGAATGTGTCATTGCACTCAGCTACATTTTGCTGCTTGGTGTTTCCATGTGACTTGTGGCAAATGATAAAAAATGCAGAATTTGAGAGGAGACACAAGAGACTTTTGCATTTGACTATAAATAGAGAATTAATTACGTCAAGATTGAATTTTAAAATATCCTCTATGGTGTGTGTGTACATATATGCAATAGAATTGTTAATGCTTATAATAGCAAAATTGTCTGAATAACTCTTTTGTGTGCCGCAATGGTGGCGTTCAGAAATGAGTGGGACGAGAGCTGAAATAGAGACAGAGAGAGGGAGTTTTCGGAGGTGGACAAGAATGAGGGGGTCAAGAGTTGTGTACAGCATTTTATATGCAATTATTGGAAACACGTAAAACAATAATTAATTGGATATGCTAAACAAAGTATTTCTTGCATTTTTACATTCTTCACGCTATAAAGCCTCAAAAATTGATTACCACCGTTGAGATATGTTTGTACGGGTCTTTGGTGTTGCGACTAAAATGCACAACATCTGAAATTAGAACGATATAAGCAAAAATAGAATGGGTGTTGTTTGTTTAAAACAGAAAACTTTGAT